TTTGAGACAGGGTCTCCCTGTAGCCCCAGCTGTCCTGGAACTCACTATGAAGACCAGGCTGGCCTTGAACTCACAGAGATCCGCCTGGGATTAAAGTCATACACCACCACGCCCAGCAATTCCCAGCACTTGTATCAGGCAGCTCACAACCACCTGTAACTAATTCCTCACACACGTACTCACACATGTACATAAATAAAAATAAAATATTTTTTAAACCATCTATTTAAAAAAATGAGTAAGCTAAAAGCTGGATATGGTGGCTCACACCTTTAATCCCAGCACTTGGGAGGCAGAGGCAGGTGAATCTGTGAGTTCGAGGCCAGCCTGGTCTACAGAGTGAGTTCCAGGCCAGCTGGGGCTACAAAGAGACCCTGTCTCAAAAATAAAAAATGAGTAAGGGCTGAATGTAGTGGCACATGCCTGTAATTTTAGTATACAGATGATGAAGTCAGAAGTCATTTGTGTGTAGCTGGCCTGGGCTCCATAACAAGACTCTGACTGAATTAATGAATGATTCTCTAGAAATCACTTACTTTATTAATCATTTATGAATTTCAGTGTTGAGGGCCTTTTCTACAGTTACTAGAAAGCACAGAGTAAGTTACAGAAATATTTTTGTTTAGAGAAATGGCTGCAAGACAAAACTTAGCTCTGCAAGTTCATGTGGCTGTCTTGAATTTGTTGCTGTAGATGAGAATTTGGATGTCTTAGATGATGACCAGATGGGATTTCACCAGAAAGTAATTAGAGGCTTAGAGTGGAGGGGGAGGTAAATATCACTGGTGTTATCAAGCTCCTGTAATGAAATAATTTTGTATCTTGGTAAATATTATAGAATACTATAACAGCCTTCACTATTAAATATTTTTTATATTTTTATTTTAATTAATTTATTTTTTGGTCTGTTTGAGACAGGGTCTCCCTGTAGCCCCAGCTGGCCTGGAACTCGCTATGTAGACCAGGCTGGCCTTGAACTCACAGAGATCTGCTTGCTTCTGCCTCCAAGTGCTGGGATTAAAGGGGTGCACCACCATGCCCAGCTTATTTATTTTTATTTTATGTGTATAAGTGTCTGCTTACATGTATGTAAGTGTACCCTGTATATGCAGTGCCCACAGAAGCCAGAAGAGGGAGTCAGATCCCTATAACTGGAGTTAAAGACAGTTGTTAACTGCCATGTGTGTGCTGGGAACTTCACCTAGGTCGTCTGCAAAAGCAGGCAGTGCTTTGGGGCCGGGCATGGTGGCGCATGCCTTTAATCTCAGCACTTGGGAGGCAGAGGCAGGCAGATCTCTGTGAGTTCAAGGCCAGCCTGGTCTACATAGTGAGTTTCAGGACAGCTGGGGCTATAGGGAGACGCTGTCTCAAAAAGACCGAAAAAAAAAAAAAAAAAGCCAGTGCTCTTAATGACTGAGCCATCTCTCCAGCCCGAGCCTTCACTATTTTTTAGTTTATGTTTATCAATTTGCTATGTAGAGAGACTAGAATGGCCTGGAACTCACAGAAATCTGCCTGCCTCTGCCTTCTGAGTGCTGGAATTAAAGGTACTCAGTTGACCATCACATATAGCCCAGTTTTTTTTTAAATAATTGTACATTGATGATCATATTTCATGCCAAATTTTAAAGATTTTTTTAAATTTTTATTTTTTATTTTTATGTATATGTATGTATTACCTGCATGTATATAAGGGCACACATGTCATGCAGTGCCCAGGAGGACAGAAGAGGATGTCAGATCCCCTGGAACTAGAGTAAACGGACAGTTGTTAGCTGTCATGTGGGTGCTAGGTTTTGAACCTGGGTCTTCTGCAAAAACAGTCAGTGTTCTTAACCACTGAACCATCACTCCAGCCCCTCATGCCACATTTTTAAAATATTTTATTTAGTGTTTTTTGGTCTTTTGGAGACAGCATCCCTGTAGTACCAGCTAGCCTGGAACTCCCTATGTAGACCAGACTTGACCTTGAACTCACAAAGATTCACCTGTCTCTGCCTCCCAACTGCTGGGACTAAAGACATGTGCCCCCACGCCCAGCTAAAATGTATTTCATTTATTATTGTTATTTTATGTGTATAAGTGTATTGCCTGCATGTGTGTAAGTACACTTGTGACAAGCAGTGCCCTTGGAGGTCAGAAGAGGACATAGGATCCTCTGGGACTGGAGTTACAGATGGTTGTTAGCTGCCCTGTGGATGTGAACCTGGATCCTTTGCAAGAACAGCCTGTGCTCGTAACAACTGAGCCATCTCTCCAGCCCTTTATTTAGTTATTTTTTATGTGTATGAGTGTATTGCCTGCATGTATATAAGTGCAATGCCCTCAGAGGTCAGAAGAGGATGTTGGTTTCTCTGGAACTAGCGGTATAGATGCTTTTTAGCAGCCGTGTGGGTGCTGGGAATCGAACCTGGGTTCTCTGCAAGAGCAACCAATGCTGTTAGCTGCTGAGCCATCTCTCCAGCCCCTTCATGCCACATTTTATACTTTCCTTAAATTTATTTGAAATTGTTTTTATTTTGTAGACTTCTGAGCAAGAAACTAAAGGTCTTCCCACCAAAAAGGGCATTGTACAGTCTATTGTTGGTCAAGGCTATCACCGGAAAATCGTTCTGGCATCACAGTCCGTTCAGAACACCGTGTATAAGTAAGTGTCTTGTCAAGAGCAAGTATGAATGTATGATCCTGTTTCACCCTGTGGACTTAGGGTGGAAGTGTATATACTGTAATGATTAGTTATATCCATGGGTATGGAAATTGTTGCCATCCTACAGAACCAAGACCATTCATTACCATTGTTCACAGTGTCCAGATTGAGGACACAGTGTCCAGATTGAGGACATTAGAAGTATATTATTTCTATTTCCAGATTCTGGTTCCAGGATAATCACCCAGTTTCCCCATTCTTGTCATGAGTCTGTCATCCATGGATTAAACCAGCCATAGATTGAAAACATTCACAAGCAAAAATTGTACCCATCTTGAACATGTACTAACTAATTTCTTACATTATCCCCAAACTATGCAGCATAACAACTGTTTACATAGCATTCATATTATATTATGGGTTGGAAATTCCCTTAGAGATGACATAAACTGTATGGGAGGATATATCTAAGGTTATGTGTGACTACTACACCATTTTCGATAAGGGACTGAAGAATACCTACATTTGAGTCTTGTTCTAGTTACTTTTTCTTTTGCTGTGATAAATACCATGACCAGAAGCAACTTCTGAAAGGAAAGGGTTTATTTTAGCTTACACTTCCCAGATCACAGTCTATCATTGAAGGAAATCAGGGCAGGAGCTCAAGCAGAAACTGAAGCAGAAACCATGGAGGACTGCTGCTTACTGGCTTGCTCATTAGCTCATGCTTAGGAATAGTCTTTTTTTTTTTTTAATTTTTTTTTTTTAATATGTATGCGTGTATTGCCTGCATATAGGTAAGTGCACCTGTATAGAGCAATGCCTGAGGAGGACAGAAGAGGCTGTCAGATCCCCTGGAACTGGAGTTTCGGACAATTGTTAGCTGCTATGTGAGTGCTGGGATTCAAACCTAGGTCTTCTGCAAGAACAGCCAGTGTTCTTCACCACTGAGCCATCTCTCCAGGCCCAGGAATATTCTTTTAAACAGCCCAGGCTACTTGCCTGGGACCAGTACTGCCCACAGTGGCCTGAGTCCCCCTATATCAATTAGTAATCAAGAAAATGCCACACAGACACAGACACAGCCAATCTGATCTAAGAAATTCTTCAGTTCCCTCTTTCTAGGTGACTAGATTGTGTCAAATTGATGATAAAAGCTAACCAGATATGCAGATCTTCAAACCAATTTTCCATGGATACTATACAGTTTCAGTTACCAGTTTTGTGGGCTTTTTTGTTTGTTTGTTTGTTTGTTTTTGTTTTATTGAGACATGGTCTCCCTGTAGCCCCATCTATCCTGGAACTTGCTATGTAGACCAGGCTGGTCTTGAACTCACAGAGATCCCCCTGCCTCTGCCTCCCAAGTGCTAGAATTAAACGTGTGTGCCACCACGCCTGACTATTATTTTTAAAATCTTATGCATATGAATTTATTACCTGCATTTGTGTAAATGCACCTGTGTCATGCAGTGCCCTCGGAGGTCAGAAGAAGGTGTCAGGTCCCCTGGAACTGGAGTTACAGGCGGTTGTTAGCTGCCATGTGGGTGCCAGGAATCAAACCTGGGTCCTCTGCAAGAGCAGTCAGTGCTCTTAAACACTGAGCCATCTCTCCAGCTCTATTTTCACAGTTTTTATGAATGAAAATATTTTTTTAAAACTAATTCTTACTATTAAGGAAAATTGACTAATATGTAAAGCAACAAAAGCAATATAGAAGGCACATGTGTACCCTTCAATAAACAGCTTTTAGGGGTTGGGATCATAGCTCAGTTAGTAGAGAGTTTGCCTAGCATGTACAAAGTCTTAGGGTTAGATCCCCAGCTGGTGTACAAACCAGACACACCTATAAGGAGGTAGATGCAGGAGAACCAAAACACCCCAGAGGAGCTGGGAAAATAGCTTGTCACACAACCATGAGGACCTAGCAAGCATCTCAGCGTGTATCTCAGCACCATATAACCAAGTGAAGTCTCACACACACACCTGTGTCCCCAGTATAGGGCAGAAATGGGAGGAGTTCTAGGGCTTGCTGGTTGTTAAATTAGTGAAAAACATCAGCTCTGGGTTCAGAGAGAGAGGTTTCGTTTTTGTTGTCTTTTGTCTTGAGAAGGTCTCACTATCCAATCTGACCTTGAACACATGATCCTCCTAACTCAGTCTCCTGTATGCTAAGATTGCAGCAAGTATGTGCCATCACCCCAACTCAACGCTACCTTTTTCACTTCTTAACATTCAGGAGGCAGAGACAGGAAGATTACTGAGAGTTCATCCTGGACTATGGGATGAGTTCATGACCAGGCTAGGCAGTTAATGAGCCCTTGTCTCAAAAGTTAAAAGGAGGGCAAGGAGATAACAGATCAGTGATAGAGCATGTGCTTGCCTAGCATATTATGAGACCCTATGTTAAATGCCTGTGCCCTCTCCTGGCCTCCATGGGCATTACACACACAGGTATACTTACATACATGCAGGCAAAACACTCATACACATAAAAATAAATTAATTTTTTTAAAAAAGTTTCACCAGGCATAGTGGCATATGCTTTCCATCCCAGGACTTGGGAGGTAGAGGCAGGAGGATCAGGAGTTCAAGGTCATCTTTAGCTACATAGCAAGTTCAAAGCCAGTCTGGGCTATATGAGAATCTATCTCACAAAAAGATTTTTGAAAAAAGAGGAAAAAAAATTGTCCAAAGTTAAATAGTATTTGGTAGACAGCAGGATTTGGGTCTTAATTTAGTTCACCTACAATGTACTTGGTAGATAACTGGGGCTGGGAATTGAACTGAGCTAAGCATGCCTTCTGCCACTGAGGTACACCCCAATCCCTAATGCTTGTTTTCTGTTTGTCTGTTTTTTAAGACTATTATAATAAAGCATTATTTTCCTACAAAAGTTATTGTCACTTCTCAAAATTTTGTGTTTTTCTGATAAAGATGACTGATTTGGGTTAAATAAACCAATACAAACTTATGACAGTTCAACCAAATTATAAGATAAAAGATACTGAGTTTCAAAGCTTGTAAAGGCATCCCTCCCCCTCTTTGGTCTTTTTGAGACAGGGTCTCCCTGTAGCCCTAGCTGGTCTAGAACTTGATGTGTTTACCAGGCTGGCCTCCATCTTCCAGAAATCCCAAGTGCTGGGATTAAAGGTGTGCATGCCCACATCCAGCTTGTAAAGGTGTATTTTTAAAGCAAAAGTCAACCAAAACATGTTTCTTTCCTTTTTCCCATTCTTTTTTTTTTAATAATTTAATTTTTTATGTGTATGAGTATATTGCCTACATGTATGTAAATGTAAAACTGCTTTTATTAAAATTTCTGTCTACCAGAGGACAGATTTTCATTAACAGTTAATCAGTTATTCCTGATAGCAACAAAGTCTGATTTGTTTTTCTGCTGTCAACTTACCTTATTTATTCTTGTTCGTTGAAGCGATGGACAGTCTTCAGCCATTCCTGTAGCCAGTATGGAGTTTGCAGCCATTTGTCTTAGAAATGCCTTGTTGCTGTTACCTGAAGAACAGCAAGACCCAAAGCAGGAAAATGGCTCCAAAAACAGCGGCCAACTAGCAGGGAACACTGAGAGCAGCGAGAGCAACGAAACATGCAGGTACTCTGATCCCCAGGGCCCTCCTTAGTGAGCCTCTGGCCTTTAGATATATTCCTAAACTCAAAGCAGAAGCTCCAGAATTCAGTCATAACAAAGAAGACTGTGTTTATGAGATTTCCAGAAGAGAAACAGGATGAAGGGATGAAAGCTAAGGAGGAAAGATCTTTGAAAGACAAAATAGAAACATTTTTTTTTTTTGAGGGGGGTTGGTTAAAGGAACAACTTTGAGACCAGAACTAGGTATGATGGCACACATCTGTAATCACAGTGTGAGAAACAGGAGGATGATAAGTTGGATGTTATCCTGGGATACTTGGCAAAACTTTGTCTTAAAAGAGAAGCCAGGCATGGTGGCACCGGCTTTAATCTCAACACTAAGGCCAGCCTAGTCTACATAGCTAGTTCCAGGACAACTGGGGCTCCAGGGAGACCCTGTCTCAAAAAAACAAAAGAAAGAAAAAGAAGAAAGAAAAAACATTACAGCAACAGTGGGGATATTCACAAATCTTGTGGTTATTAGAGGCAGCATTTTTTTCGTACTGAAGATTGGGAAGATTGGAAGATTTCTCAATGGGTAAAGGCATTTAACCATCAACCCTGACAACTTGAGTTCATTCCCCAGGACCCACATAGTAGAAAAAGGGAACCCACTTCTGCAAGTTGTTCTCTCACCTCCAGGCTGGCCAGGAACTCTATGGGCCATTCTCCTGTCTCTGCTTCCTGAGTACTGGGATTATAGACATGCAATACCACACCCAGCTTATGTTCTTACTTTGAGACAGGCTCTCACTGAGCTAACCAGGCCTTAAATTTACTCTAGTCCAAGTAGGCTTTGAACTTAACGGTCTTCTTGTTTTTACCTCCTGAGTAGTTAAGATTATAGATGTATATTACCATATATGGCATTTTTTAAATTTTTTGAAATTATGGTCTTATTGTATAACCTAGTATGACATTGAACTTGTATAGCCTAGTGTGACATTGAACTTGTGATCTTCCTGACTCAGTCTCCAGAGTGTAGTGGTTACAGGCATTTACCGCTACACCTGGCCAAAAATTTCTCATTTCTTGTTGTCTTCTGCTTTTTTTTTTAATATTTTATTATTTTTATTTATGTGTATGCATGTATTGCCTGCATGTAAGTAAGTACATCCGTGTCATGCAATGCCCAAGGAGGACAGAAGAGGCTGTCGGATCCCCTGGAACTGGAGTTATGGACAGTTGTTAGCTGCCGCATGGGTGCTGAAATTCAAACCTAGGGCTTCTGTGAGAACAGCCAGCGTTCTTAACCCATGAGCCATCTCTCCAGCCCCTGTCTTCTGCTTTTTAACATACTCTTAACCACCAACTACCAGAATATTTCCAAATGTTTCTGGTTTTCTAATATAAATTAAAAATTATGGGCTTGGGCCTAGAGGGATGGCTCAGTGGTTAAGAGCACTGGCTGCACTTACAAAGAACTCAGCTTTGGTTCCCAGCACCCACATGGCAGCTAACACCCACCTGTCCTTAACTCCAGTTCCAGGAGCTCAAACATCCTCTTCTAGCCTCCATCAGCCGTAGGCATGCACATGGTATACCTACATACATGTAGGCAAAACGCACATACACACACACACACACACACACTCAAATCTTTTTTTAATAAATGCACTGGAGAGATGGCTCAGTGATTAAGAGAGCATACTGCTCTTGCAAAGGACCAGAGTTCAATCCCAGCATCTTTGCTTGGCATGGTGACACACATACACCTTTAGTCCTAACATTCAGAGGCAGAGGCAGGTGGATCTTGGTGAGAAGTCAGCCGGGTATACATAGTGAGTTCTAGACCAGCTGGGGCTATAAAAAGGTCTGTCTCAGAAAAAAAAAAAAAAGCACACACCAAAAAAAACAGTTCCCAGTGTCCACATCAGGCAGTGCACAACTATCTGAGTCCAGTTTCAGTGCACGACTGTCTAAGGCCAGCCTGGTCGACATAGCAAGTTCCAGGCCAACCAGTGCTGCATAATGAGATCCTATCTCAAAACAATAAAAAAAGCAATCTGAAGATTGAAAATGTGTGAAAACACTGGAATAGTGAACCCTTTAGAAATGTTTCCAGCTAGAGATTTTTTTTTTATTTATTATTTTTTTGTCTTTTTGAAGCAGGGTCTCCCTGTAGCCCCAGCTGTCCTGGAACTTACTATGTAGACCAGGCTGGCCTTGAACTCACAGAGATCTACCTGCCTCTGCCTCCCAAATGCTAGGACTACAGGTGTGCGCCACCACACCCAGCTAGAGATTTTTTAGACGCATTATAGTGTACTAGGGAAAACAAACTAATGTGTAGTACAGCGCTCATAGGTTAGTGATGGCAAATCTCAGTGCGTTGGTTGTTTCGACCCTTTCGCTATTGGTATAAACACCTGCACTGGAGTGGTGAAGTCGAGATAGGAAAACAAATTGTACATTTGTTTGTTTCTTTTCCTGTTTGAGTCTTTCTCTATTTTAGCAGTAAAAGCCATGATGGGGATAAATTCATTCCAGCTCCACCTTCTTCTCCTTTGAGAAAACAAGAACTAGAAAACTTAAAGTGAGTATCTAAGCACAATGAGCATCGTATCTGTTAAAATAAGTACACTGACTTTTACCTCTATTATATTGGTGATTTTATTATATTGATCAAATTATCAAGTGTTAGACCACATGCCTGCACCACTCTCTGGGACCTCCTCATCACACCATCTTTTAACCATTATACTGTACTGTAAATCCCAGCAATCACATCCCTGCCTCACCCCTCCACCCCCATCCTCCTAATACAGAGGTTAGAGGTATGTGCATCCATACCTGGCTTTTCACATGGGTGCTGGCGATCTGAAGGTTGGTACTTGCACTTTCACAACAAGTGCTTCTACTGACTCTGCCATCTCCCCAACCTCTGTAAATTTAGCTTTGAACTGAAGGCCGGGGGTTGGAGGGGACAACAAGTGCTTGATCACCACCTTTGAATTATATCCCCACCCCTAGTTAAAAGACTTTAATTGGGTCTTTTGGGATAATATGAAGAAGAGTAAGTTTTCCAGTGAGGTGAGTAAAGTGATACTGGCTTTATAAACAGAAAAGCAAGAACTGAGGAGGAAAAAAATAAATGAACAAAACACTGGACCAGTGAGATGGTTCAACAAGTAAAGGCATTTGTTGCACAAGCCTGATGACCTGAGTTAAACTTCTGGAACCCATATAGTAGAAAGAGAGAACAGACTCCAGAAAGTTGCCCTCTGACCTATACATGTGTACTGTGATATGTGTGTATCAGGCTTGGTGGCAAGTGCCTTTACCCATTTAGCTATTTTGCTGGCCCTATACCTGATACCTTCTAGAGATGTGTCTGTTTATAGAATCAATGGTATTTCATATTTAAGGGTTTATCTAGGGACTAGGTATGTGACAGTGGTAAAGCACATGGCTTAGGATGTTTGAGGCTATAGATCCTGTCTTTGGCACCATGAAACAAAGATTTATCTTTATTTTTGTATAGTAATATCCATAACAGTAGTATAAAAGTTTATAAGTATATTAGCTTTTCATCCCTGTCAGAAAATGCTGAGTAAAGCAACTTGAGGGATGAAAGATTGATTTGGGCCCATGTTTTCAGAGGATTCTGCCCATTGCCATTTGGTTTATTCCTTTGAGCCTGAAGTGAGGCAGAACATCATGGAAGTTAAGGTGTGGTAGAAAGAATTGCTTATCTCACAGTGGCCAGGAAACAGGCAGACAGTAGAAGGGGCCCGGGATGTGGCTTCATGATAGGGAGCTTACCTAGCATGAGTAAGGCTCAAGTTCAGTTCCTTAGTAACACAAAAAAAAGACATTTTGAGATTCAAGTATGTATTTATATAATTACATATTTATTTCGGACAAGTTCTCAGTTTGTGGCCCAGGCTGGCCTTGTACTCACAATGTCCTGCCTCAGTCCTCAGGTTTGAGGTTTATAGGCATAAGCCGTCGTGTTCAAAATTCATCTTGTTAAGACTCCATGTGTGAGTGAGAGCTTGTTTGTCTATGCCGAGCTTCTTTCACTTAGTAGAATGATCTTGCCACTACCTCTTAAGGGCTGGGATTATAGATATGGTCTCCCTGACTGAATTAATTTTTCTTTTTAATTTTTTATTTTATGTGTATGTGTGTGTCTCTCTGTGTGTGTGTGTGTGTGTGTGTGTGTGTGTGTGTGTGTGTGTGTGTGTTGCACATGAGTGAAGTGGGTGAAGTGTCTGGAGGCCAGAAGAGGGCATCTGATCCCCTGGAACTGGAGTTAGAGATGGTTATTAGTCACCATGTGGGTGCTGGGAATTGAACACAGGTCCTCTGCAAGAGCAGACAGTGCTCTTAACCGCTGAGCCATCTCTCCAGCCCCATATGACTTTTCAAAGTGGGCTCTACCTCTAGAAGTTTCCACTGTGTCCAATAATGCCATCAGATTATTACTTCATCAGTAGATTAATCGATCTATTATTAGATCAGAACCCTCATGATCCAGTTACCTCTCAACCTCCTGCACAGCCGTGAGTACATTTCATATCCAGAGCAGAGCGTATGCTGTAAAGTGTCATGCCTCAGTGCTGTCTCTTCTCCCCTGAGAGAGGCCTCCACTGCCTGGCTTCTTAGATGACCTTCTAGTGACAGTCCTCCACCCTGTCCTAGCGTAGGAGTGTACAGTGCTTATTTTTATTTACACTAGTAATTATGTAGGTTCCACAGAGCTCCAGATCTTGACAGAAACAAGGTAAAAGCTAAGTGAGGAAAGATCTTTGAAGGACAAAATACAATACACCTATAATCCCAGCCCTCTGAGTCCCGAACAGGAACAGGAGGATGATGACAAGCTGGAAGCCAACCTGGGATACTCAGACCCTGCCTAAGGGATGGTGTGGTGAAGAGCCTTCGTATCTATTCGTGTTGAAAGCATGTCTATAGATACGGTTCTGTATCCTTATAAAGCTCTGTTTTATCCTCTGTCTTGGCTTCATAGAAATTCACTAAAATGAATGACATTTACTTAAATGCTTTGGTGTTAAGTGCTTTATGTTTTCAGTCTGTGTGTCACAAATATTACTGCAGTGAGCATCATCCTATGCATTTAAGCAGAATCCTTGAAGGATTTGAAACTATTTTTCAAATGTGACATAATTTTTACAGCTGTATTTGAATGAGTACTAATTTTTTCCTCCTGTTCCTTCTCTGGAACTTTATCGCTCCTGCACTTAATGTGCAGTTTTGTTTTGTTGGGGAGTTTTGGGGTTTTGTTTTATAGTTCTTTTAATGCGTGTGTGTGTGTGTGTGTGTGTGTGTGTGTGTGTGTGTGTGTGTGTGTATGTGTGTAAACGTGTGCATGGAGGTCAGAGGACAATGTTCTGAAGCTGGTTCTTTCTTTCCACCCTATGAGTCCTAGAAATTGAACTCAAGTCATCACCAGGCTTGGCAGCAGGTGCCTTTACCCACTGGGTGATCAACAACCAGCTGTTTGTTTGTTTGTTTGTTGTTTGGAGTCAGGGACTGGCCTGTATTTGCTGTGTAGCCAAAGATGACCCTGATCCTCCTACCTCCACCTCCTAAGTGCTGGGATTATAGGCATGTACCAGCCGTCAGGCCTCCACTAGAGTTGTGTAATTTAAATTCACCTTCTAAGAATGATACTGACAAAAAGGGCACATACAATGTGGATTCCACTCAGAATTTTGTGCCTTAATAGCACAGCTCTTATTTTCTATGCGCCTTCGAAGGACAGTTGGTGATTTTCAGAGAAAATAAAATGGCTTCCCTCTTTCTATGGAAAGAGGCAAAGGATCGCCATAAAGAAGCCCATCATCATAACATGAGGCAAAGACAGGTTCTCTGGTATATATTAACCAACCCCCCGCCACCCCTTGTAGAGCAGATGAGAAAAGGGAAATGGAACAGGCTTAGAAGGAGCCTCAGGGTACATATTTGCAAAGGACTGATGTGCAAGTCAGTAGCAGAGGTAATATGGAGACACATGGCAGAAGGAAGGAGTACTGAAAGATTTGATCTTAATTTCAGAGCTCTAAAAGGAGTTGGGTATTTAAAGGGCAGTTGTGAGGCAGGAACCAGCTGTCTTTTTAAAGAGCCTGACTGCATTCCTGCTTTGTTAAGATATTATGGGGTTCTTAAAAGATTTCATCTATTTCTGACCTAAATTCTTTTATGTGATCGAAAAATGTGTGTGGCAGATGTAAAGTTTAGTTTATATGGACTATTATATTTGACCCCTTGTGCTCAGTAATACCCGAGACACCAATGCAAAGCCATTTCCTATTTCCAACATAGCTAATATGCAGTAAATTATCATAACTATTCTGATGACTATATTTTATAATATAGGATCACAATCTCCAGGTTTTTCATATGTAAATGAATGAATACAAATCAAAAAAAAATTGTTTCTGAGGCTGGAGAGGTGGCTCCATGGTTAAGAGCGCTGGCTGTTCTTGCAAAGGATCCAGGTTCAGTTCACAGTACCTACATGGAGGCCAACAACCATTGGTAACTACAGTTCCAAGGGATCCAGCACCCTTTTCTGACCTCTGTGGGCATTGCATGGTCTGGGTACACTTACATACATGCAGGTAATATACTCATACACATAAAAAAATAAAAATAATAAATAAAACATTGTTTTAAATTGATTCTAAGTAAGCTAAAGTATGTTTTCCAAAAGTAGGTGGCTATGAGATTGTATTAAGTCAAAATTATTTTCAAAAGTATTCTGGGCTGGGGGCTGAAGAGGAGGTGGCTCAGCAGTTAAGAGCGCTGGCTGCTCTTGCAGAAGACCCGGGTTCAGTTCCCAGCACCCACATGACAGCTAACAAGTGTTTATAACTCCAGTTCCAGGAGATCCAATGCCCTCTTCTGTCCTCCATTGGCAATAGGTGCACTTACATACGTGCAGGCAATACACTCAGTACACATAATAAAAATAAACAAATTCTGGGGAAGGAGGGATTACAGAGATGGCTCAGTGGTTAAGAGCACTAGCTCTTCTTGCAGAGGACAGCACCCACCAGGTCGTAAACAACCTTCCATAACCTCCTTGGGCACCTTATATTCACATGTATATACCCACACACTGACACACATATACCCACATAATTAAAAATAAAATGTCTTTGTAAAAAGATGGAGGACTCTGGGATCTGGAAAAGAGCACAGCAGATCTAGTAGAGAATAGGAAACAGTGTTGGAACTAGCATGGGGAATGTCTTCACGCGAAATTAAAGCAAAGCAAACAAAATAAAAAATGAATTCTTAATTTAATTAGTCATTTTTAATAGGAGGCCCCAAAATGGATAAAAGGAAATGTTCTGACCAAACAATTAAGCCTAGTTAAGCTGTTATACAAATATAAATTATGGAAGGTTAAGTAGTTCCTTCAGATCCTAATGTGACACCCATTGAATTATTTTCCATTCGATTGGAAGGACCTCCCATGGTTCAGTGTTTAGAAAAGAATACAAAGTTAATAAATGGTTGATCATATAAATATTATAGGCAGTTTTAGTGTACTCAAGGAAT